GCAAGCTCTGCCCTTATGGATGTTTTTACATGTTTATTCTACAAACTTTGAAAGTTGTAAAAGAAGCGTGTGAGGTCTGGAGCCCAGCAGCAATTCACGATGTATAAGGGTCAGACAGTCTTTTCATTCCCTTGGATGTGTCTGAGAAATGAACTGAAAGAACTTCAGAAAGTATGCCTAGAACTTCTTAAACTTGCTGAGGAATCAGCCAAAGAGAAAGTTTCAAAGTGTTCAGAAAAGGGTCAAGGGAAGTTGGCAAAACCCTGCAAGGAAATCTTTATAATGAATAACTTAAAAGCTTCCTTAAGCCATAAAACATCTGTGGATTTTTCATTTTCCTTATTTATTTTGCTTAATACAGTCCTTTAGAAAAGTAGTTATTCTCAGTCCATAAGCCACATCTGCATACAGTAATTTCCTTAATTGTTCCAAATTTTGTGAGGCTGACCCCACTTCCTCACGGCATCATGCAAGTCAGGAGCACAATGAGCCATGAATAGCTGATGTCAGAGTTACGCAAGCTTTCATTTCTCACACAGTCATTTTCAGTTTGGGATGACAGAATTGTTAACATCTTAAAATGTTAATGAAACCACCAAAAACATGGCATTTTCAGCATAGTCATTTAGACTAGAAAAATCATTTCTCATGGCAATCGACATAGACATAATTACAGGTATAAGGAATTTTATGCTTCCCAGGACTCCAGATGCCAGAGCAAATGTCCATCATAACAAAATGTAGACAAAACCCTTTGCAGACCAAGTTCATAATGTTATCTTTAACAATTCATTTACAAGTTGTTTTATTAAATGTTAACTATTCAGAGCAATTATAGCTGGCATATTATTTTGATAAGAACTACATAAACACATATGTATAGTTGTTTTTGTCCAGCCAATGACCACTTGCTGGATTAGGGTGAGGTGGGAAGAATGAGGAATTGAATCCTGCTATTCTAGTGCTGCTTGCTATGTAGCTTATAATGTTGGAAAGTAAATGATTATAAAACAATGGGATATGTGATCTTGTAGAATAGAGATATATTCAGATACACAGAGAAGGTAATAATTAACCCTTCTCAGAGATTTGGTGATGACAGAAAAACACTGGAATTGAATCTTAAAAAATGAATACTAGTTTTCAGGTTTGGAGCAAATTCACAGGCAGAGAAAATGGCATATGCAAATCCACCAATACCTAAAAGAAAAATTTAGTACTGTTGGAGCATTAATTGCGTACNTAAATGTTAACTATTCAGAGCAATTATAGCTGGCATATTATTTTGATAAGAACTACATAAACACATATGTATAGTTGTTTTTGTCCAGCCAATGACCACTTGCTGGATTAGGGTGAGGTGGGAAGAATGAGGAATTGAATCCTGCTATTCTAGTGCTGCTTGCTATGTAGCTTATAATGTTGGAAAGTAAATGATTATAAAACAATGGGATATGTGATCTT